ATGTATATGTATGTATGTATGTATGTATGTATGTATGTATGTATGTATGTATGTATGTATGTATGTATGTATGTATGTATGTATGTATGTATGTATGTATGTATGTAATGTATGTAAGGAATGTAATGAATGTAATGTATGAAATGAATGCAATGGATGAATGTATGAAAGACGTCCAAAAACATGGAGTTTTCCAGATTTTTGGCAAAAGGATGTAGGAAGCCCAAGCCAGCAAAAAAGCCGGCAGGGGGAATCGAGCCTGGGACCCCTGTTTTGCGACACCGGCTCCCCGAAGACTACGTTTAGTGGAACGTCATCAAATTGCCGCGCGGTAAGAGGGGGAGGGGGGGGGGGGGGTGGCGACCGAAAAACCATGCGTATTTGACGTGTCCCGGGGGGGGACTAAGGGGGGGGTTATCCTCTATCCTCTCTTAGGTATCCAATAGTCCTCTCTTTGGTATCCGACACGCCGAGCAATGTCGGCGGACTTTGGCTTCTCTGTTTGGCTTCGGCGTAAGCCCATCCCAGCGCACCTCGGCTGACAGGCCACTCCGAAAGCTGCCGCGCGACTGGCGCCGTGGGGGGGCTCACCGGTTTTTGATGCTTTGCTCGCAGGCCTTTCTAGCTCGTGCGATAGGTAGGGAATGACGGGAATGAACCCAGGGGTCCTAAAGGAAACCATGGCGGATGGTTTATAGAGGTCATTCCCTCATGCCCTACTGAGCACCAGCACGGAAAGGAATCGCACCATCATTCTATGGTTCCCCAAGCACCACAGATGCGTCAAAGCCATGGCGGGTCAACCACCGGGGTAAACCAGTTTGAGGCAAGCACCACAGTCCAATCAAGTACTGCGTAAAGCTAGTTGCACCCTATGTTCTATTTTTTCTTGTTCTCTAAAAACAGGTTGCACCCACGTGAAACCCATGGCCTCGATGCCACTAGCTTAGACGCCTTCTCGAGTCCTGTCCTGTCAGTCCCGTACCCAGGAATGTGAAGTGTACCCTTTGCCCTTGACAAGCGAATGGGAACCCCAGATATAAATGGAATTGGGGGAGTAGGGGTGACCCCTCAATTTTTCTTTGCTGGTTCCATTGTCTGCTTTACGGGGAAGACTAGATACATAGAATTGGGGCACCCACCCCCTTCCCCTTCATGGTAGGGGAGATCTATATAAGTAAAACCCGTCCTATTGATAGGGTGGGGGGCCTCTCCAAGAAATGAATCCCGGATCAAACTCAACGAGGGCTTGTACTTAGATCTGGGCTTAACATCAAAACCATGGCTCAGCCATGGCCATGTGACGCTCACGTCCAAGCCTTCCCAGTCTAACCGACCGACAAGCGCATTTTCCTGAACTCGGGAACCCCCCGCATGCCAACGCAACCAATGGGGGCCTTCGAAGATACCGGGCAGTTGGATATCCAATGCTTCGAGGCGAAGTGGCACACGTGGGTTCACTTCATTCCCCAAGGATCGCTCAAAACTGATACCCTACATGAAGCACGCCGCTTGAGCTGTCCAGCTGCAGCTTTCTTGGCGCATGCCCTGGTTTTCTGTGGAGAATTTGTTTTCTGGAGTATTCCTTGCAAGTTGCTGTGGTTTGCCACCACTTTGCAGGCCGCCAAGCCAGAAAGAAGGGAGTTTCAAAGACCCAACGTCTGGAAACAATAGGAGTTGTCGCCGCACCAGTGCCTGAACCCGTGTCAGGTTGGCACTTGCGCCTATCAGTTGGAGATGTTTGCAGCCATGCGGAGATTGACTCGTCCCATGCAGTCACTGCCAAGGTCGGGTCGGGTCCCAAAGGCCCCGTGCTCAGGATTGCGATCTGTCAGTCGGAGAGCTTTTATTTCGCGGTAAGCGCGGACGGTCCGAACGAGGGCCTTGGGGCGTGGCTCAACAACAGGGGGCCCCACGAAACAGGTTGAAAGGGTTCCCTTTAAACCAAACACCAAAAAGGGTACCCTCAAAAAAAAACGCCAGACCCTGATTCTTCCCCAAGAAAGCACCCAAACGATGAAACCCCGGCAACCGCCGGTGGTCGGAGAATAGGGAAAGTAAAGCTAAAACAAAGAATGCAAGGGCCGAAATGGTGATAGTTGAGCCCTTTTGCCTGATTCTATAGTTGAACTCGCCATAACTCGCCTTTTTGAGTTGTTTTGTTGCCCCCCTTCTTGTTGTGTTCTAGCAATTCCTCGATTACTGGCTGTACTCTTCCTTGAACCCTTAAAGCCCTGAAGGCCTCTTTGCACCCTTCTTGTGGGGAGTACGGGGAAACCTTTCGATGGCCTAAGGCGCATGAGCGAAGCAGGTGGGGCTCCGAGTGCGTCGATCCAAAACAAAGGCGTGGGTGTGTTCCTATAGGTGGCCTATAGGTGATGTGTATTGAAAGTGCATGGCACCGGTTTCAAGTTGTTTTTGTTACGCAATCTTACTGCAATATGTTGGGTCCAGGGGGGGGGGGGTTAGCCGGGAATTTGACAGGTCTACATCTTCTGCTTGCTCGCATCTGTCTTCACAGCTTCAGCCATTCCAAGTTTGTGTACATGTTCGCTTGAGCGTTTGCTTCCCAGTAAGAAAACCAAGTCGCTGAAGATCGTGCTTGGTGGTCAACAAATCAAAATTTGATGGCCAACGATCAGGCTGCAATGAAATCTCAAGCACGACAGTCGCAGTGGGATCGCCTGTGAGAGCCTGTGAAGCCCCTACCAGCAAACTGTCTAAATACCAGGGATCAATTAGCCAGTAGTCTTGCAGACAAGATGAAACGCAGGGTTGCCCGGCCAAGCGCAGCAGCAATATGCAGCATATGGATGCGAATGCCCTCCCGGCAAGGGTCCGCATGAGCCCGGCGGACTGCGTGAGAATACGAAAGCAGTTCACAACTCACGGAAACATTCCCTCCCCCCACCCCCCCCTCCCACCTCCCCCCACGCCAACGAGAAGGGACAGCCGGAAAAGGCAACAGTGGCGGCGCATAATCAAGATGTTGATCACTGAAAAAGAAACAACTATGTGATTTTCCCGGCTAACCCCCCCCCTGTTGACGCAATATGTTGCTGAGAGTTGGGGGAGATGCCCTGAAGGTTTCCCTCTACAATAAGCCAAAACGTGCTTCTGTAATTGTTGCACGCATTCACCATCGTCTTGAACGGAAACCAAGTAATCCTACTAATAAAGGTCCCCCTAGAAATATAATATGTTTTTCAGACTCCGAGATCCGGCAATACTACTTTTAGAATATGCTAATACTAAAGCAATTGTTAGCTAGGAATTTTCCTGCCCGTACTCAAATCCAGCCTTATTAGGGGACCCTTTTGCACCGTCAATCTGGCAATGCGACTTTCGAGCCGGGGCTGCGGGAGCACGTTTGCCTGTACTGCAACTGCGACTTTCGAGCCGGAACTGCGGACGATTCCTGTTCTACGCGCGTACACAAAGTTGCGACTTGCGAGCTGGCGTTGCAGGAACACGTTTCCCTACGCGTGTGCTACAAAGTTGCGACTTTCGAGCCGGAGCTGCGGGTTTTCCGAAAACGAACATGGGACCGTTAGTCATAACGAAGCAGGGTTTGCAACACCCTGTTCCCATGCCGGGGTGCCAGGGCCAATTTAGTAAAGAGTGCTACTCCCCAGTTAAGCCGGAGGGTTGGTGAGGCGATTGGCCCTTTACGACCAGGTCAGTACAACCACCCGCTTTGAGTTGCAAATTGAAAGGCACGTAGGGGTTCAACCTTGCGCCCAGTGCAAGCACGAAACCCTGCTATGAACCTCTGGCAAGAGCTTGTGGTGAACTCCCGGTATGAGCTCGTGGTATGAATTGGTATTCACTCCTCAGTGCTCCTCAGATCCATGTATCGAGCCTTGGATTGACACAGTCAGTTCCGGAAGGTTCTCAAACCGGACCTTTCCAAGCTGACCTATGGCAGCGAAAGCACGCTAGGAGACACCATTGACCTTAAAGAGCTGAATGCAATGTCTATTTCGGATGTATGACTCCCTCCAGGTATTCAGAGGCTCTCTTGTAGTGGAGAACCCTTGCAACTGACCCGAAGGTGCGCAGGAACTGGCTTCGGGGTCGCCAAACAAGATAACCGTTTCATCCCACCCCAGGAAGATGATCGGGAAGCTCCCGGGACCCGTTTCAAATAGTACTTGTTCCCATTCCAGCCAGCACTATAGTAGGTAACGAGCCATTTTGGTGCTTTGTCTTTTTCAGAATGGTTCCCTTAGCTACTCACTGCATCGGTCGGTATCCACCAGGTTCAGCCGCAGACTTTGCGCTGCCCGAAACATGTTGGCCACTCAACCCATTTTGCGCAAGGAGTCTTTCCTGAAGATCAACATGGACCCCCGCCAATTATGAGGAATCTCCCTCTAAGAGGGACCCGTTGTTTGGCTTCCTTATTAATCTGCAGGACGAACTAAATTGCTTAGCACAGACATATTTAGAGTTACTGGGGGCTGTAACTTCATGGGGGCTAGGGAGCCCAAATAAGCCCCTAGTAAGGCCTTATTCGGGGCTCCTTTGGGCTCCCTCCCCCTCCCTCCCCCCCAGCCCCCATGATAAATGGAACCCTTGTGCCACCCTCGCCGCAGAATCGCTGCGCAGTTGCCGCAAAGACCTGGGGAGAGCGCAGCTGGCACATTTGAAAGGGAGAGCGGTGAGCGTTTTTTGGCACTGAGCCGCTGTCGGTGGCAGTTGTCATGTTGCGGCACAGGGAATAGAGTTTGCGAAGTTCCCCACATCTCCCCTTATTGTCGTTCTAAATAGGGCCGAACTCGCATTACTGTGGTTCCCCATTCAAGTTTCCCTACATCGTTCTAAGCCTTCTAAGCTCGCTAAGCTGAAACAAGGAACATGAGAATCACCAAAAACCTCCAGAATTGAAGGCTGGGACTTTCCCAAGCAATCGAGGAGGTTTATCCATGCTCACTAATATGCGTGCATCCCCGTACCGAACTGCCCAATGCGAGTCCGCATGTCGACCGTTGATTCCCGAGTTGGTCAATTCGTGTCTCCACGAGGTGGACCTGTTATGGTACAAAACTTGATTGCTATTGGGTTGGATCTTTAGACCTTAACTTTTTGGAAAATAAAGGTGTTTTCCACTAAACCCCCAAAAAGTTAAACTTTTTGCACGGGGGTCAACAGCAACTACGTTTTATGGTACCAAAGGGTAAAGTGAGCCAACCTCGGCAAAGCGGATGCCTAGGCAAGTTGCAGCTCACAAGTCTGCGCTGCTTGCGCTACGCCCAATCCCAAGGGGCCCGGGAGTGCCACGACCACCCGCCTTAAGGATGTTCTTGCCTTGGCTTTGTCTTCGATGCCTTGGTGGCTCCCAGTCATCCGATTCCTTAGCTTTTTAGCCTTTTACTCTTTAGTGGTAGTTTCCATAGTGGTAGTTTCCATTTGACCCATTAAAGCTTGAACTTTTAGCGGGGGATCTGAGGGCAGCCCAGATGCATTATCATTTTGAGTGGCCAGAAATATCAATTAGGGGGCACATATGCCAAGACTTGCCCCCCACCTTGCCCAAGAAATGGGGGGGGGGGGCTTTGCACCATGACGGGCTCTAGCTCGTTTTTGTCACGCACACAGCCTCCCTTTGTTGCGAAAGGTGTTGGTGATTCAAGTTCATTGCACTGGGTTCAGTTTGGTGACCCAACTGAAAAGAGCAACAAAAAGACAGAATTGAGTCACAATGATACCCCGGCGGCCGCTGTCTTCACAGTGTCAGAACATCCAAATATGCAAGCACCTGACAGGGGGTCCCTTCAAGAGGAAGTTGATCTTCCAGGTACCACCCCACAGATGCCATTTGTTAATGCGAGGATGTATGTGTATATATATATATATATTATATATGTGCATCTATTCGCCAACTCACAGTGTTTCACTCGCAAGGCGCGCGGTTGCAGAATGTGAAGTCCCAGCTCCCCCGTGCGCAAGCGGCACTGTCCGACACCGCCACCTGCCTCAGCCGCCGGGCCCCCGGATTGGTTGCGCCGTCTAGATTCAGTTGACCAGTGGATTCCGCCCCATTCAACTTTTCGGGAAGGGTTCCCCTTTGCGGAGCCGGTGTTTGTTTTCCTCCTAGGGCTGGTTCTTTTTAACAATGGCTGGGTTGGTTGGTTGGTTGGTTGGTTGGTTGGTTGGTTGGTTGGTTGGTTGGTTGGTTGGTTGGTTGGTTGGTTGGTTGGTTGGCAGGTTGGACCTCTCTCTACCCCCCTTTAAGCTCAACCAACCAAAACACGATGCCCCCTTTTCATGGCGACTGAGCGTCTGTTGTTTGCCATTTGCCTGGATGGTCTTTTAACTTTGGGAAAATGTGTATTCCCCACCTAAACAAACGAACATTGTCAGGGGCTCTTAAAATAACTTTTGGTTTCTCTTGTAACCACCATGTGAAGGCAACTTTGAGGATGTTACCTGAATGGACCCAGTTGATGTCCGCAATAAGGAATTGGATGACTTGAGTGTGAAACAAAGATAGGCTGGGGTTGTTGCTCGGGCTTTCATTGAAAGATTATGTCCATGGAAGACCGGATTGTTCAACATGCTCAAATATTATGGCTTGGGAGACTGGGCTTGTTCAAAATATGTTCAACGAGAATGGCCATTGGAGACTGGATTGTTCAAAGTCAATCCGCAACAGAAGGACTCCCTTTGGGACGCACCCTGGTCGGACGTTAGATGTTCCCCTGTTCGTTGCCAAGTTGATTCACGGGTTTCCCCTTTTGGCGCGGTGATGTTTAATGGAAGGACTCTTGGTGTGGTGTTTGGAACAAGTAATTACTCGAATCAAGAAACTGGGGGGCAGTTTGTCTGCGAGCAGCATGCGGAGAGGAGAGGACAAGTCAAAGTTCAAGGTAGAGAGGATGCGGAACAAGAACATTGGCACAGGCTGCGGTGCCAGTGCGCGCTCGGTTTACAAAGGGCTGAATCAATGCCCGGCAGAAAAAACCACAACGTCATGTTTGACTTATTTCTTCTTTATTTTTCTGACCTGTTCCACCCCAGGCTTGCAAACCTTGGAACTTTGATTTGTCCTTTTTAGTTGTGGCCAGACGAAAAGTTTCTCTTAAAGCCCGTGGGATTTGTTGTTTCGTCCTGAATCGGCTCCGAGGAGCTACGGCGGCAGTGGAGGAATGGTCTGAGTCCAGGCCAGGATTCACGTGCCGCCCCTTCAATCATCAAAAGCACGGTGGGAATTGCCGATGCCGATGGTAGGCCTTAAAACTTAAGGGGGTCTACAGCGCAGAAGCGGGCACCAAGCAATTCCCAGCCTGATCTCCACAAAGGAAGGGCCTGAATGGGGCGCAAACGGTAAGGGCCAACATCAGAAACTCCTGATGTTACTTCGCCAAGTGGGGAAGCTACCCTCCCGCAAATCATGGAACATCAGAGAACCCGAAGGTCAGCTTGCAAGCAGAACTGAGAACCTTCTACAAATCAGTGGTCGGGGGTCCATATGAATCCTGAAGAGCATCCTTGGGCCGAAGGGTTTGGCACAGGCCTAGATCCATGATGCTTCACTAGGCGGCCGAAAGTCCCGCTACCAAAGATGTGGATACCGATGGGGCCTTCTCAAGTTTACCTATGGCTTTGAGCTTTGAATCCTGACGGCTCAGAGACACCTAGGATCTTGACATCAAAGCAATTCCGACCGATGACTTTGTCCAGGTTACTCAGTTTCTCTAGTGGGGAGCCCTTTGATTGTCACAATCAAAGGGCACCCCACAAGAGAATTATTCGGAGGTGGGGACCTTTTGCGACCGTGACATCGCCCGAAGCTCCCTCGATGTCACATTGGCCATGTGGGGAGACTGGGTTGTTCAAATTACTTCATCCCTATGCCAGCTGGTAATGGTGGTTTCCCTTGGGTCCCACTATACGGCTTGGGATTGGGGATGCCCCCAGTTTGAACAGGGAGAGTACCAGAAGTGCGACCGACAAGGACTGCTGATGTGCTGAAAAGGCTTGGCTCCTGAGCCACCCCTGTAGGGAGTACAAAACCACAGGCTTTACAATGCGGCTCCTCTGAAGCTGGAATTCGGGGGATATCTTTATCTCTTTGCCCCAAGGTGTGTCTGTAAGACACGTCTCAAAATGGTGGGTGCTGTGTGTTTTTCTTGTTATTTGTTTAAAGACAAACCAATTCCTTTACCCCAAAAAGGTGGCCTACAAACAGACCCGCCCTCATTTATTGTTTAATCATTGTTTATCCTTGAAGACCTTTTTCTGTCGCAGGTCCGAGGCTTTGATGCTGAGTGCCCGCACCTTGACCAGCCCGGCTCTCATAGGCTGCCTGGGAGTTTCGGGTCCTGATTTTTTTGTGATTTCTGGGGGTCAGCGCTGGGTGAAGACTTCCAACCAGGAAAAAGGAACACCAGGTTTTCGTCCATGCCATGTTTGAAAACGATTCCGAGCCGACTTCAAGGATCCGATTTGTGTTTGGTCAAAGAGGAGGTATTTAGATGTGTTCTTTGCGGAATCCTGAGACGTTTGTCTTGCTCAGGCCCAATAAATCCGGGAGGGAGCTCCCAGGGGAGTCAAAAGGAGAAACCCGGAGGAGAAGGTTAACCTATGTCCTGTTGCTTTTGTCAGGCTTCTTGTTTAGCACAAGCTTCAGAAAGACAAAACAAGAAAATAGACACACAAACGTTTGGGAGGGTCCAAAATATTTCCTGGAGCGCTTTTCAGAGGATTTCGTTGTTCAAAGAATATGCACCCAGGGTGACATGGGACGCGGGGTGACCATTATTGGAGATCTTGATTTGTTCTATTTATGGGGAAGATTTGGGTAGATGTTGGTTTCTTGCCGGGACTTTCATTTGCGAAGTGGTGTACTGGACCTGGGCAGCTCTACATCCCTTAGTATGGTGGGTTCGAGGCCCAAGATGAAAGCGATCCCAAAAGGGCTCCAATTGTTGTTCTACCCTGATCACTGGGCAACTGGGGAATGGGTGTCACCATGGCAGCCAAAACGCTTGAAGAATCAGTTGCCCAGACTCAGCCGGTCAGGAATGGCATCTACCAATTCTTGGAAGGGAGTGGTTAGAAGGCTTGTGCCCAAATCTCCTGAGAATAACCGAGCTTGTGGGAATGTGTCGGCCCCAATTCGCGTCCGGCTTCTGTGGGAGTCATCATGAGAAACCATTTCTGAGGGGGTGCAGAACAGCGCCCTGTGGCATCACATTGCTGCCCGAAATATCTGAGGTGTTGCTTCCTCCAAAACCGCTACCCGCAAAAATGAAGTAGTTCCCGGCACCAGTGGCAAAACGCGATGTCATCGCAGCTCAGCTGGAGACTCTCTACGAAGTCAATGCGCTAGTACATCCTCAGCACACCTTCTTCTGTGGATGGATAATCTCTTGCACCAGTTGCGTCGAAGGTCAATCCCAGTCTTCAAATCATTGATCTATCCCAACCGGGGCCGATCTGCGTGGCTTTTGTCCATCTGTAGGTCAAGCGACCCGTAACCTTGAGTCTTCACGATGGCCTTGGGCCCCCTTGCCAATCATCGGCCGCAAAATTCCAAGTTTCCAAGGAACCCTTGGATTGCAAAGAAAGGCATCGGTTTGGAAATCCCCTTGCAACAAATTGATTGGATTTCTAGGTCTGGGACTATGGAGAATCAGTTCTAGTTTAGGGGTCCCAATGGTAGGAAACCAGAAGCACGCGAATTCATGCGAACTCATGCTTAGTTGTGGGGGTCCCCGATTTTGGGATGTGAAGACCTGAAGAATGTTGCTTCTACTGGCGACCCACTTGTGTCCATTCATTGGCAGACAAATTGTAGACCCACTTTGGATGTTTGCTTTTAATTTTAGGACCCAAGGTCTGAAGCATATTCGGCCACCTCAAACTTGAGCATGTCCCGTGTCCATTGCAGATGTTTCCTTGGAACCAGCAAATCATTGTCACATCCCGGGGTCGGATGCAAGATTGGCCAGGATTGCAGGTTCTAATCGTTAAAAGTGCGACCTGGTGCCTTGTGTGGGGTTGTTTCAAGTGGAGAGACCATTTCATTTGTGGGTTAACTAACTGGTTTTTTGTTGGGGGGCTAAACAGAAACTCCCATACTGTGGGTGGACGGAATCCTGCACCACTTTGAAACCATGGGAAATTATTGTTTGTTGGCATTTACGGGGGAATCATCATTCCAGTGTTTCTTAGGTGGTGCAGGATTTCGTCCACCCGCAGTAGTGACACAATGTAGTTGTAAAGTGCCCCACACCCCATTCCAATCATATGAGTCGCAGTCAAAACCCGGGTAGAACTGGAGGGTAGGAAGGGACAATCCCATAAATGGTTGCGGATATCCGCATGTTCAATTCTTGAAGCATGGTTGGGGGATTACCATCAGTTTAATACCGATCGGTTTTGATGATGACTCATACTGTGGATGGACGAAATCCTGCACCACCTAAAGAAACCTAAAAATGATTATTCCCCTGTAAATACCAACAAACAATGGCTTTTCATGGTTTCTTAGGTGGTGCAGGATTTTGTCCATCCACAGTATGGAGGAGTTGAGTGAGACATCCCACTTCAACTTCAAGTCGACGAACTGAGTTGGGGAGAAAGGGAAAGGCCTGTGGGTCCCTCCAAAGACAAGCCCAAATTGGGCTTTAGGAGATCCAATTGATTACTGAAAAACTGGTTACAACGCCCCAGAGACATGCTTGTCTCAAAACGAGATCTCGCAAATCCCCCTTCAAGAATTCGAGGAATCTCGTCATAAACCGGGGAATCCCGCTTTGTCACAGCAAGGTGCCGTTTCGGCATCTCGAGCCCGGCCTCCTCCGACCCCGCTCGCTCCGAGGCATTCAAGAGCAGCTGGCCGCGGCGAAGGAGGCCTTGGAGGCCTCTGCCTTCGAGCGCGGCGACAAGTCGATGCCCATGATGCGGCTGAGCAACGGCAAGCCGCGGCCGCCTCAAACGGCAAGCCGGGCCGGCGGTTTTCGGCGGTTTCCGGCGGTTTCCGGCGGTTTCCGGCAGGTCGAATTGGGGTGGAAAAACGGAAGCCAGGCCCTGGCACCATAGACCAGTGGATCCCAGACAAGCCCATAGAGTAGGCAACCAGTGATTTTCCGTTTGGTTTTCAAGGGTGGTTCCCTTGGATGCCCTTGATGCGGCGGCCGAGATGAGCAATGAGCAAGATGCTGCTCGGCAGGTTGACTTGCTCCAAGGCGAATCGACCCTCTTCAGCCCATGTTTAGTCCATGACCAAAAAGGGTGGGGCCCAAAGGCTTAGGCAGCTGAGCCAAGTTGTGCAAAGGCTATTTGGATTTGGCTGCCCAGATGTATCCATGCTCAGTGCCGTTATTTGGCTTGAGCTCAGCTTTTTATTTTGTTCCTTTTCGACCAATCCCTAAAAAGAGAAACAATACCATGTGAGCGTTTAACTTGTTCGACTTGTTGCTTTCCTTAAGCAACATTGGCCTCGTAGTGTTTTCCTGTTGTGCCTGTCGCCTTTTTTTGCGACGAAGCCGGTTCCCCTCGACTTTTCCTCTGGCCCGTCTCCTCCCCCGGGTGGTCCGCCGAGCTTGGCCCCGGGTGTGATCCGAATCGGCCCGTCAGGACCTTTTAGAAACACATGAGCCACTTGCACAAAACCCCGGGAATTGGAGGGTAAGGGACAATTCCAACCAGAATTTGGTGCGGATATCCGGCTTGAATTCTTGAAGCATGCTTCTGGGTAGATCATTTTAATACCAGGTTTTGATTGTGTCTCAAATGGATTTTCCATTACACCCTGCAAATGGTGATCGACCTTTTGCATAGAGCAGAAGGGCAACCCAAAGGGTGACCGGATTTTGCCCTTTGGACGATTCTGGGAAAATGAGATGGAGCTCGCTCGCCCCTTGGGTACAACGAGCTCACCCATGAACGGCCGGGCCTAGAAGTTCCCTACTTACTGTATGTCCAACTCGGGAATCACAGTAATTCACCCGGGAGGTTCTTGGTCATTCCCCAGCTATCGGAGGAGCAAGTTTGGGGGAACACGCCTTTGGGGGTCAACCAAGTATGGCCGCCATGGATGCGCTGAGGGCTGTGGACTTCTCTCCTTTCACCCGCGCGCGCTGGGAAGCCGAACGCCGCCACACTGCCGCGCTTGTGGTTTTTTTGTCGGCCACGAGAACATGGGAAGCCAAGCCCAACGTGTTTCTCGAAGGCCCCATTTCTGTCTCAACTATGCCATATTTTGGAGAGATACGAACCGGACTCGTTGATGTGGGCCAAGTTTGGTTGGTATCCAAAGGGAATCTGAAAGGAAACTAACAATTATGGGGTTCAGCTTGCACACAAGGGTAGTCATATGAGAGTCGTCCGAAAGGTCCTTGTATTGAGCTATGAAGGGGAAGACCTTTTGGTCTTAGCGTTGACCTTCGCGAAAGTTCCGCGAAGGGGGTCGCGAAAGTTATTTTTTTTCCGCGAAAGTTTGGTGTGGCTTGCTAATAGGAAGCTGGAGTGATACCGGCAGTGCGCGCAGAATGCCCGCAAACTAAAGTTGGTCGGAGAATGCGCAGCCTGAGGGTCGCCGCAAGCACACGCCGCTGCAAAAGCAACCCCCAGCCAGCAGAAACCAGCTTCTGGGAGTTTTTGAAGCTGTCGGGGCAAGCTGAGCGCAACTTGCCGGATTTTCGCGAATGTTTGGCGTAAGACCCGTGAAAGTTTCGCGAAAGTCGGCGGACCTCCCCGCCAGTTTCCGGACATGAGGCTAACGGGTCCTCTCACGCGTAGCTCACGGCTTGTGAGCTGGAGCTGCGGAAGCGCGCTTCGCGTGCTACTTTGGAACTGAAAGGTCGCGACTTTCGAGCTGTGGCTACGGAAGTTCACTTTGTGTACTACTTTCGTATTGAACATTCTGACGAGGCTGAGGAAAGTTAGTTCGTTCGCTACTTTTGTGTTCAAGCCGGGCTGCGGAAGTTTACTTTTAGCACTACTTTCGACTTTCGAGCTGGGGCTGCGAAAGTGTACTTCGTGCACTACTTTTTGATGAATGTTCTCAAAACAGCCCCGCGAAAGTTCCGCGATGGGGTCCACGAAAGTTTTTTTTTCTCGCGAAGATGGCGGTTTCCGGAACAAGGAATTTCAGACAACCGTCATATGTTCAGCATAGAAGATCTGTTAGAACCCATCTAGGGTCACTAGAAGTTCGCCCGGGGTTGTGTGTCCTCATGAGTTCTGACGGGGCTCAGTATACGGACGATACGTCTTAGCTTGGGTGTCTCGCAAAATAATGGTCTAGATAGAATGGATGATGATCCTGCTGGGTTCCCCTTGAACCGTTCAAAGCTGGTTGCCATATTTTGAGACACCTCCACATTTCTGAGCCAGATGGGTCAAAATTAAAGCCACCACAGGTTTAGTTTATTTATGTTTCCATATACCGGGATTCCATGTTGTGTACCTGTTTTAGGACCCACAGCCGTTTGAACATGACCGCAGGAAAGGGGGAGTCCATGTTGGCCTCGGAGGGCGACGGCGTGAAAGTGTACCTGCAGGCGCCATCGGCCATCGGCCGCGGCCGACGACATGTGGCGGTTTCTGAAGAAAGGGGACGTGTGGCATGTGGTTTCCCCTTGAGCTCATCCAAAGCTTGCTATGGCCTTCCGGCGTTTTGCGAATGAACATAGGGACTCCCTGAAAGGAAACCATAGGGAATGGCTTGTAGAGGTCATCACCTCATGCCCTGCTGAGAATCAGCAAGGAAAGGAGGGTTCCCTCTCACTTTTCTAAGCACCGGCGCTTGTCTGAAAGTTGTGCCTCGATCATTAAACCAACACCGTGCAAGATCGCCCGGCGCAGATCTTCTCTCTGCGTCCTCCGCAGAGCGGGCCGCCAGGACGTGCCGAAGCCCTTTCCAGAGGAGAAGGACGCCGATCACAGGGCATGGCGTACCTGGTTTCGGAGCCAGCTTTCTGATCTGGAAGGCAACCACCGTGGAAAGGTTTTGTTTACAGGGGCCCCATGTTGAGAAATATGTTAATTTAGTTGGACCCCTTCCATATGGCAGCAGTCCCTTTTGCCTGTTTGCGCTCAAGCGTCTTTTCTTCAAGAGTTCGTGTTGCCTTCCTTTAGTTGTCCTTTGCCTTTCTCGGGGTTCCCTTTTGGTTCATTTGTGCAACGTCCAAAACCTCCGTCTACATGTTTATCAGGGACTATGTCATGTCGACCCGTGGCGTAAGCAAAACCTGCACGGGCGTAAGGCGGCGTAAGCAACTGTCGAAAAAGCATGTCGCGCAAGCATTCCGCGTAAGCTATTATCCTATGTGTTTCTTCAGTCATGTTGTTTGTCATATCCATGTGTTTCTCATTAGTCGCTACTACACAACGCAAAACTAGGGAATGTTTGGGTGTTTTCCGCGTAAGGCTCGCGAAAGCTTCGCGTAAGCCCCCGCGTAAGCCCCAGCTGCGTTTCTGAGTGGTAGCCTTGACGGCTTTGAAAAGCCCTTCCTAGACCTGCCATTGTCCAGCTCTGCCGAGCTCATTGTCCAGCTCTGCCGCACGGCGCTGCCTTGCTAAACAAGGCAGCACCATTGCGAGAAAGCAGGACCCCGCCAAACGAGAAGGATACTTGCAATTGGAGACGACGCTTCTACGATAAGCCCCGCTCTTGGGAGCTGGAAGGGCTCAAAGCCGGAGACGACAATGCGTTGACTCGCAAGTTCGCTGCAATGAAGCTGTTCTTCCTCCTCTTCATCTTCCTCCACGGCTCGTCATCTGCGTGAAAAGCAAAAGTGCTCGCGTAAGCCGCCTTCCACGGAATTGCATCCGGTCTCTCTGGCGTAAGGGCTGCGTAAGGCCTACTTGAAGCCCATGTGCCGCGTAAGCAAAAGCACGGTGCGCGAAAGGCTGCGTAAGGAAGCGCGCGTAAGGAGAGGGATGCGACATGGGGAATCACGACACGTTTTGGACATGGCTCATTTGGGTTTCCTCTTGGACACCATCAAGGGGCCCCTTGTGCATCCGCCAGGCCTGCAGTCAGGTGCGGGGGCGCCACGTGCTGGTGAACAACGCGGAGAAGGCACAGGGGTCTCTCAACCTGGGTTCATGAGCTATCCCTTTGGCATCTCCTTTGCCGTGACATTTCAAGGTGCACTAAAAACTGGACCAGAATGGAATCAAGTGTTTTAAATTAGGGGTTCTTTGGGTTACCTTGAGCAACATCTTGCATCTTTGAGCCTCTAGACAGCCGCAAACAAAACCTAGGAAGATGAAGAATAGCCTTGCCAGTGTGGCGCAACCGACCTTTTGATTCATGGAGTGGTTTCGAGATCGCTGCAAGGCCTTGACAAAACCTGGGTGGATCTGAAATGGAGCCTCTAAATCTGGTTTAGGGTCTTGTTTGAACTTATGCGACATGTTTAGGCTCGCCAAGTATAGAGCAGCACCAACAAAGTTTGATTCATTGTTATTCACAGGGGTCCTTTGGGTCAACCTTCGGCAGCATCTTGGCCAACCTGTGGCAGTGTTGGCCTCAACAGACCCGATGAAATCGAGGCCGGTTATTGCACGTGCCAAAAACACTGTTCAAAAGGCAGCGAATTTGCACGATGCGGAGGTGACTATCTTGCGGATGCAGTTGTTTTTTGTGGATGAAGCTGCTTGATCTTCAGGGCTCGTTTGCCACCTCTCGATAAATGCACGCCGATAAGGAGGGGTCCTTATATTTCCAACTTTCTGGTGGTTTTAAACATCACCGCCCCAAAGTGAGTACCCCTTGGTGGGAGTGATGTTTTAAGGGGACATGTAGGGAGCCCTGTAAGGCTTGGCATAGAGCGAGCTGCGTCCTCGCGACCCTGTGGAAGATGCTTTTACAGGGCTGCGAGGTGTCACTTCGGGAAATTGCATTGCGCAGCTGCGGCTGGCCAAATTTTCGCGGCGCATCTCTCGGCGGAGAACTTGCTTCCATTTGCTTATTAAGAATATTGTTTTTAATATTCTGCTGTTGGTTCTAAAGGGAATCTATGACTACTGGACTTTTTCTCCAAAGGTCTTAAGCAAATGGAAGCCTGTACTTGCCTGGAACTGCCCAACGCGCTTTGTGCTGGCGGGGGTCTTCTTGGCGGCAGGCCAAGAAGATCTACCTCGAGATGTCTGCGGGGACCTCGGCTCATGAGCTTGGAGTTTGAAATGGGAACCAAAGAACTCAGAGATAGCTCGAAACGGGGTGGGTGATTTGCTGCCTTTCCGGACCGCCTTCTCACACCCAAGAACGATGATCTCATTTGCCCATCAGCCCACGCGTTATCATGTTGAGTTGCGCCATTTGATTTAGTCAATGTACTTCTCCCCCCCCCATTTTGCAGATCATGGGCGGGGATCCTCAGGTCACAGGCACGGCAGACCGCGGGGGCTTCCTGCGCCACGCCTCCTGCGCCACCTTCGCGTCCCTGGCCTCTGAGCGCTCCGAGTGCCCCTCCGCAAGGCCACCTCCTGCGCTGGGGGGACGAACGACGACCCCTGGTCTGAGCTCATTTGGGGGGACCCAAGGGTAAAATGGGTGTGCCGGAAAGGAATCGGAGAAACAAAATCAACAAAATGGTGGTTTTCCTGAACTCAAACAAAGGTTCCCCAAAAAATGACACCCAAACGTCCCTGCGGTTCACCTTTTGCCGGACCATTGGCGTTTCTCGAAATTGAAAGGCAGGCTTACCCGGGTCCATGTTTAACGCCCGCATGGATATCCTGCTCGGATGGTTGATTGGTTGTTGTCATTCTTGGTTTCCAGAAGGACATGAGACTTCCCGAAATTTGGGGTATGATCAAAAGGTTTACGTGGGATGACCAGGGAAGCTACCAGACCTCAGAACAGATACGACTTTTGGGTCATGGCAGCTTCCTACAGGGAGTCCCATTGCTTGGAGATCACAGTAGGCAAACCACCAAAACATGATACAACTTTCACCACAAGGGAGAAGTGGCCATGGTCATTTTGGGGGTCAGGAATAGTGTACAGCTCCATGTTACAATGTTCCCTTGTGCCCGGATCTTTCAATCCAAACTGCCTGAAGGACAATCATCAACGGGGGTTCTTCAAACTTTGGGGGTCTGAAAACAATCATTTATGGGATCTCAACCTAGTCGTCTACGCAACATGTGTGAAACGAAAACGCTTAGGGGCACGATTACCAGGTCCCCTTCCACTTGATCTTCCGGAACAATACATTCATCTGGGTGAATCATAACGACCTCAACCTCACCCCAAATTGTGGTTTATGTGGGGAATAGCCCCCCAACAACCTTCTTTCAGGTTGGTGAAACATGATAATGCACCCAGGTTCATTGGTTGTAGCCCTTCGGGTTGGGCAAAGATCTTGAAGCAGGTGCTCACTGTTATTGGTTAAACCAGCTCGTGGCTTTGTCTCTCAAGACCCCTAGAGTAAAATGGGTGTGCCAGAAAGGAATCGGACCCCCCCTAAAAAAAAGAAGAAGAAGAAGAACCACAATCAGCACAATGGTGGTTTTCCTGAACCGAAAGGGGGGTCCCCCAAAAAATGACACCCACATGTGTCTGCGGTTCACCTTTTGCCGGACCATGGACATGTCTCGGGGTAAGGCAGGCAAACCCGGGTCCATGTTTAACGCCCGCATGGATATCCTGCTAGGATGCATTGTATAGCTTGGTTCGCGAAGGACATGGGAGTTCCCAAATGAACCATTTTAGTAAGATGGCAGTTTCCTTACATAGGGAATCCCATGGTTTGGATGACAACAAAAAGCAACTACAACAAAAGGCAAGTTCCCTTTGTTTGGAACGCCCATATCTCAATAGCAAAGATTGTCCAATGAAACGAGTTGCGAGAACCTGGCTAAGTTTAGGCCACTTGCCATAGGCTTGGCAGAATCTTGGCGATTGATTCGTCGCATGGGTTTAGGGTAGCAGGTCCTTGGTGGATCCGAAAGAAGCACTCATAATAAATTGAAAGAGCTTCATGATATCTTACGTTGGCATTAAAAATCACTTTGTGGGATGATTTTTGTCTGAGCTCCTTTTTGTGGAGTGATGAGTTCCTCGATGTTTTAAGATAATGTAGGGCACCCCGATTGAACCCGCAGAAGGTGAGTTGTTGTTGCTGGCTCAGCAACCCCCACTCGGTGAGGCTTTCCTTGTTTTGTGGTTTGAGCATCGCCTTTCAGCAGAGCCCCCCATAGTTCCTCTTCTGGTCGTTTCCTGAACATCAGTTTTTTTTCCACTTTAAAGTTTGCGTGGGTGATATGTTACGGGGAAGTATGGGGAGCCCCTGGAAATGGACACCTTTCGGCATGGGGCATCCCGGACAAACCTGCCAGTATGCAAGCCCAGAATGTGTTGGTGCCTGTACAGGAGGTCACTTTCAGTCTCGACGGAACTCAGCTGCAAATTTCCCAGATCAAAGCTGGAGAACGAAGCTATGTTGTGCTTGTTCTTGGCCAAACACCCCGGGGATGTGAATGTGTCTCAAAGCAAGCAATCATCATCGCCAAATACCCTTCAAGTCCAGTCTTAAATTATTTTCTACGACCCTTGCTCATGGTTCAGGGTCAATCCTTTAGTCCAGCTCTCCATGGTTTGACCATTTGTTCCGGTTTTGTTCCGGCTCAACACCCTCAAGCCTTGAAGCAGCAATCATAGAACATAAATATATTGGATTTCTTAAGAACCCTCTCATCAGCTCCACCACCATGCTTACCAAACAGGCAAACCAACCAGGTTCAACGGTCCAAAGCACTTGGTGTCAGTGAGAAGTCTCTTGCGAAATTTGACACGCCAAAGAGGCAAGGCGTGGGCTGCATGAAGTTGTTTGTGCCAGCATATAGACCCGCACTAAGTACGTGCAGGTTGGCGAAAAGCTCCATGCTTTGAGGCGTTCGGCAAGCTTGTCCAGTAGCCTGTGTTTCGTGCGCGAGGGACGAGAAGGCTGAACTCACTAAACTTACAAGAACCAGGGGGCGAGCCCAAACTTCCCCACGTCGGGGACAAAGAGAAGAATATATGTTTGGTGTTAAACTTGGAACCTATTCACTACCGGACATGTTGTTCTCATTTTTGCCAAGGGGCGAAAAAGCAAATGGATGTTTATACAATTGGACATTGGTGGTTTGAGTAAGTAAATGGAAGGTTAAAACAAGGGAAGGGAACCAAGAAAAAGTGGTTCTCTTCTGTTGCCTGAAACCACCACGGCTACCCTTCGCCTCAAAAAAAAGAGACACCGCTCCGCTGGCTGCAGGCAGGGTGGCGACTTGGGCTGGATCTCAAAGGATCCCAACCCCTCCAAGCTGAACCAGGCGGGTCCCGGGTCCTGGGAGAAGCGGGCAACAGCTCCCCTTGGTGTTGGTACTCCGGGCCCTGAGGAAAAGTGAGGTCGCCATTCTTATGAGCTGCCCCAAGAGCTCTGAGACCCAAGGATTGCTTGTGGTTCAGAAGCCGCTAGAATCGTTAGACATTGAGGGATCCATGATATGAAACTCTGCAGCTTCTATCGGCGCGAGCATGATCCCTAGAAGATGAGCACGGGGGTTCGCGTTTCAACAATCGTTCGAAGGTCAGCTTGCCCATTCCGATTAGCTATTCCAATTAATTATGCACGAATATGGATGCAAACTGGCACGTTTTTGCCAAGAGGGCACGGGGTCCTCACGAACACCAACACGCCCACACCACATGCCCATGCAGCCCAACAGACCTCCCGGACGCCGGACTTGTCAATCGGATGCATGTTTTTTTTCACCCCTTTGACTTGCACAAAGCTTCTGGCTTTCACAGCCACGTTGTGGCACCAACTCAAACCCGCCAGCCTCCGCCCCCACCCGGTTCGGACACTTGCCAAAAAAAGCTGACGAGGGTATTGAAAGGCTCCGTTCAGCTCGCTCAGCTTTCACGGGTAAAGGATGCATCCGCAAAGGTTCAGCAAGCGCCAGTGTGGCAATGTTTATGTCTACCAGTTGACAAGGATTTGGTTCGCAAGGATTTGCAGTATCTTATTTTCTGATCACACGTTGGCCGTTGTCCACCGCCACCCCGACTACCAGGTCCGTGTTGCCCTCATAAGACAAAATTCAAAAGGCGATCCGCAAGATCCTTCCCTGGAATAAGGGGTCCCCTTTGTAGAAGTCTGCTTCTAGAGATTGAAAAGAAGGGAGGATTGGGCATCCTTCTTGAACTGACCAACTTCCAGTTCACCGCATAGGGTCTAAATCATGGCGTTCTCCGGTTTGGTTCATTCTCCCACCTGGGCGCAAGGTCCTTCCCTACCCACCTATCGCACCAGCCAGGTGGCACTGCACTGCCCCCGGAGCGCCTGCAGCCCTCCGTTCAAGAGCGGCAGCGGTGCTTCGGTAGCGCTCATGTCCGTTGGTGCGATAGGGAAGGGCGTCTTTCGAGACCGGGTGTTTGAATGAACCGGTTGTGCTTGGATTCCCTTAAAGGAAGTAGGATGGATATGTGTTTTTTTGTTCATCAAACTCCATTTCTCACCCCGAGAAGTGGCAAGCTGAAGCTGCAGGGGTTCCAACCCATCAAACAAAGGCGCTTTGACCACGCAATCTGACGGGGAAGTCACCGCAGAGAAGTTTGAAAGTGTTTGGGAATGGGTTGCTCACACTTACGCCGCCCCGTTCTGGTCCTGAGGGCTAGCTCGTCATGAAAAGGTGTCCTTGGCTTCTGAAACTGGTTGTTGTTGTTGCCTTATTAAGGGCTTAGTCTGATTGTGGAGCAGGGTTCGCAAAATTTGCTGTGGCTCCCTTCAAGTTAAACGGAAACCAAGAGGAGGTTGCTTAAGCAAGTCGTGCTTTAAGCACGCTTACAAGGGCTTCACCCAATTTTGTGAGGAAGGGACCTCAACCCACGGATGTTTTTGAGCAAGTTCCACGCAGTTTGCGGCCTTGAGGCAAGATGGCAGTGGTTAGCTCGATTGGCTGGGTTGGTTGGCGTTGGGCGTTTGCAAAGCAGGATGACCGGGAGAGGTTTTCCCTGCGCACGCGCAGGGAAGGTCGAATGCTTCTATCAAGTGCTGTGCCTCCATCTTGGATGACAGTGGAACAGCTTCGGATGCGGGAGAGTCCAACCTGTTCAGAGAATACTGGCCAGTATGTCAACTGAAAACAGACCAAATATGCCAATTACATCGAAATTGAATGAGCAATATGATAATATGTCCATTCAACAAGAAGGAACCTATAGGTTCCTTTCCGGTTCCGTGAGCGGAAGATGTCTGAGATCCGAGGCTTTCACCTCTTCTTCTGCGAGGAGACATATGGGAAAGGAACTCACGTGCGAACGAATTCACCGATGTGACCTCTTGGTGTCCCACTTTTCGGCACTTGGCCACGTCGTCAGGACCTGTGCGCAAGTACACTTGAACTGAACTCTTTTTTTGGCCCTTGTTTTGCAACAGTTCTCAAAACTCGCTTGCCCAACTGCGACCTTTTGGCCTTCAGTTTTCCCTCTTTGGCATCTTTGGCCCATTTTCAGTCATGGCCCCAAGAGGCTAACCTGTTATTCTCGGGTCCTTTGGGCAACTCAGAAACCGGTTGTCAATCCTCAGAAGTGGAAGGCCAAGTCCAATGTGCCCCTTCGAAGCCTGCGTGGCAATGGTGCAGTTCCGAATGTTCGAGTCGCGCAATCAACGTCGCAAACTTGGGACAGCGTTCGTAGCGAAGTGACCAACAATCATGGCAGCCAAGAGGGCGGAAAACCACCAAAACAATTTAGCCTTGCGATCCAGGGCTTGTTTGTTTAACTCTCAAAGCCGTGTCTCCCAATTTTGCTGTTTTTGCAACACCAACCCGACCCGAAAGGAGCGAAGATGAACCCACCAGCAAGTTGCCATTACCAATGCTGAGAAATAGATTGAACATATCTATATAGATTGAAATATGTCTAGGTAGATAAATATATCAAACTACAGATTTGTTTATTTGTTTTCGACGATTGTTTTATAGACTATTTTTAGGGTTGAATATGTTTTTTGGAATTTAAGTACATCCAATATATAATATATTGTTTGAGGATGTGTGTGTGTGTGTTTTTTTTGTTTTTTTTTTTTTTTTTTAATTATTATTATTAATATTGGTGAAATTTGTATTGTTGATTGTTTTATGAAAATGGTTTGTGATGAATTAATGTGATTTGGTATGTGTTTATGTAGTTTTGTATGGATTGGTGCGGAATTGTGTGGTTTATTGTGATTTAATGTATTTGGTGGGTTGAATATGTAATTGAAATAATATATATTAGTGTATATTTATTAATAATAAATTTAGATTGTTGTGTTTGTTTAATAAAAACATATTGTACATATAAATATATAATTATTAAAAAACAATGAAATAGATATTGATATGTTAATAATATATGTTGATTGTTTTAAATAATATAAATATATAATGTAAGAAAGAAATAGACATTTTTTTTGTTGATATAAAATAATTTAATTTTGATTTATTTGAAATTATTGATATATTTGTGTTTTTAATAATATATTTGTCAAATTGTTGTATTTGTGGTGTTTGTTTGTTTGTTTTTTTTATGTGATATGTAAAAACAAAATAGTGTGGTTTGGATTTTTTAAAATTACGAGGGTTTTTGAATATTATTTTATTGAATGTGTATGATACAATGAATATATTGTTGTTGATTTGATTTATTGATTTGAAATGATTAAACAAATATATATATTTTTTATGTATATTTTTTTTTTGTTTTGTGTTTGTTTGTTTGTTATTGTATTATTTTTTTGGGTATTTATGGTTTGTTTTTTATTTAATTTATATTATTCGATTTTGTTTGTTGTAAATATTTTGTAATATTTGTATATTTTGGTTTATTTATTGTTTTTTGTGTTTTTTTATTATATATATGTTTGTTGTTTTATTATTGGTTTAATTTTATATTTTTATGATAGATTTTATAAGTAATGTATTGTTTAATGATATTTATATTGGTTGGATTTTGATAGAATTTTGATTTTATTTTTTTTTTTATTTCTTTATTTATATAGGATATTATTATGATGAATGGTATTGATTGATGGTTATATCTTTTTGGTTTACTTAAAGATTTTCCGAAAATTTCGAATTTTTTGATATTTCTATAAATGAATTATAAGGTATTATTAGAATTAATCGATTTTTTTTTTAACAAAAAACATATTTATATATTTTTATTATAATCAATAATTTTAGACATATAAATTAAATATTGATAAAATTGAATTAAATAAATATAGATTTGTTTAATTATATATTTATAAATAGATATAATTAAATTAATATATAAATTTGAATATTTGGAATTAAATTATATTGAATAAATATAGAATTAATAACGATATAGATATATATAATTATTTAATTATATCATATATATTATATTTATAAATATATTAATATTATTTGGATTTATTAGTATTATTATTATTATTAGTTCGTAATACCAAACTCCGATATTAGCCATATGTTTAGCATTCTTGTCACTAGTTCCTTGGAAATGTGCCGAAATTTTCGTTTATTTTAGTTTATTGAGAAGGGGCGGTCGAAAATTTGAGTTAGGCATTTGGGCCTGAATTTTCACTATTTAAAAAGATTATGAGGGGGGATCCGGTCCCCTTCCCCCCCCAAAGGACTTAATATATTAATCCATGCCTGTCCCCTCCATTAATTCGGTTGTCAGAAATATTGCGTTTTTGGGGGGGAGCCCGAAAAAGGTTGATATCCTGGATTACCTCTTCTTGGGGTAATCGAATATTCTGTTTCCATTAGCTCGTTTGATTAATTAGATAATCGAATTTCGATTTATAGATTACAAAAATAACAACCACCCATGCATTTTTAAAACAATATCGCACAAATCTCATATATAATTCTATATATATATATTATAAAATAATTAATTATAATAATTCAATATATACCATAGGAATTTTGAGTCGACTTTTCGAATAGACTAACAACGGCGTTTTGTTCATTCTGAATATTGGATTTTTTTTTGCTTTATACACTTGTTTAACACAATTGTTCAAACACTGAAGTTGTTGTGCACTACTTTACCGAATATATATGTTCCTAAAATTAAAGATGGATAATATTAATTATATATTTTAATCCTAGATTATTTTATATTCGAGAAATTATATATTTGTTCAATCATTAAAATTATTACCTATTATGTAGTTTCCTATAACGATGGAAGATGAACAATATATTTTGTTCATTCTTACTCCTAGAACCATTTTGATTTAAGAGACCCCGCACACCTATTTAAACACTGAAACCGTTACCCACTACGCACTTCCCAAAAGACTAAACATGAACAATGCGCTGCTCTAATCATAGGTTTTGTATTACGCTTAGCGAAAATATAACATCCTGTGGAAACGAATTATATTTTAATGAATTCAATTCTATGTTTTAGGATTAAATTTCCTTGTAAATTCTACGAACGAAACGAGACATATTAAAATGGCATGAGCAGAGATTAGAATTGATAATGGATATATATATATTTTATGATATATTAATTTTCGTTCTTTACTTTTCAAATAATTAATTAAGTGTTTTTGTTGAAATTAAATGGCAGATTATATATTTGATATATAATTTTAAAATATAGATATTATATTATCGAATAATATATTGGTATATAATATATAATATTTAAACCGAATCCATTGGATATCGTTTTTATAAACGACGTCGTATAATACCTTCTGTTGCAAATGATACATTTTGCCAGCAATTCAGTCGTGATTTGGCGAGAATTCGGTCGCGATTTGATGAGAACAGCCGCGATTTGTAGGTCTGGCTATATTTGGCATCGTTAAATATCATTTGTGCAAAAAGGTGTTCAATACACAATATTGGATTATTTTAAAATTATATATTAAATAAAAATATATTAATATATATTTAAAAAAACTAAAAAACAATATCAACATTATTTAAATATATTTCATAAGAATGTTTAACCAAACTAATTAGAACAATATTGTATAAATATGTTTATTTATATATTTTTCATCGGGTATTAGGTTTGGGTTTTGCTAAAGTCTCAAAAATATTTATATTCATTATATAAAAAGCGAAAATTATTGCCATGTCATATATATTATAAAACAACAAAAGACAATTAAGAAGAATAAATCAAATAAAATAATAGTTTCAACTTATATTCCTTAAATATAATAATTATTACATATATTATTCATCATTCCCCAATTTAGATAATATAAAATTAAGATAGAATTATAGCATTATCTACCTAAGACTTTGCTAAATCATTTTCATAAATTAATATTCGAATTCTAACCTCCTTAAATATTAAAATTGCAAGCCATACATGTTTTTTTGTTTTTAATAAATAAAAATAAAATATCTTAATTCATAATAAATATCAAATTATAAAATATTATCAATATTATTAACACACTAATAAATAAATAACAATTCGGTTTATTAAAATCTTATATAACCCAATAATTACAATATATTATAAAAAATATATAATTAAATATATATATATATATATACAACATATATATATATAAATATATATTTATACTCAAATATTTCCATAAAAAATTACAAATATACCTATATATACAATAAAATATATAAACAATTCAATATAACATATTCAATTTTAATTTAATATATATATATATTACAAAATCAATTTAACCTTCAACAAATTCTCAATCAAAAAAAAACAAATCCTTCCCAAACCCTCAAAAAAAACAAAAAACAAAAAACACATTAATTAAAAAAAAACAACATTTCTACCATTTAACCCAATACAAAAAATCAAATTAATTATTTCAAAACAACAAATGTCTATCAAACAAAATTATATTTATTTCTAAAAAAAAATCATAATATCTAATTCCAAAATCATAAAATACATATCATAATAATATCAATCTAATTCAAATCATAAATATATTGTTTATACACCCATTTTAAACCAAAAAATGTTATGTAATCATATAGTTACATGTTTCATGTGTTCCATAAGTTTTTAGAATTAACCACTAAAACAACATATTGTTTCTAAGACTAGGGGTTGGCTAGTTTGGAGTTTCGGCTGGAGGTGTAGACTCTGGCTAACCTGTGCTGTTCCGGCTGGGTTCTTGGACCCGGATGCAAATTGAGATTCCGTACATTTTGTCATCGTCACTTCAAATGCATCATGGTCTGCAAATTGAGCCTGAGCCATCCAGAAGGCAAACAGAATACAAGCTGAGAGATCGCTAGTCCGACAAGAAGCTCTGACCAAAGCCTTACGACTCAGGCCAAGCCAAAGCTGGCCCAAGCGCTTCGACTGCCAAGCGGCTGAAGTCATCACAGCAGTTGGTGTGCACTTGGCAGTCGCTCTTGCAAGAGCACCTCGTCAGACTCTTTCGAGGGAAAAACGGCCATGGGAACAGCAAGGCTTGTCGTGCATATAAATAAACATATTCACACTGATACGGTCAGATCTCAACAGCTACCAGGCATCAGCATGTTTAGCCATTTGTGGAGGGATGGAATTTGGAGCCAGAGCCTTGCATGCATCTTCTCGGTAAAACAGGCCACAAGCTTGGATCCACTTTACCAGACGGCACCCTCGAACCGCGGCCTGCCACCTATGCCCGCAATGCCGCAGCCCATTTCGCTGCACGAAGAGGGCCTCGAATCCGCATGAAAGTTGCCAATGTTGGAGGTCCAAAAAAAGGGAATTGCGAGACGCCTTGGCAGGGAGCTTTGTGCCAACGTCCGGATGCGAACCCCTTAGCTTCGGGGTAAGTGGTCCGTGGATGCACAAGGAGCCCGCTTCGCCTGGCGCCGGCTCGCATCAAGCCTTCGTAAGCTTGGAAGTTCCGTCGGAATCTCCGAACGGGAGGACCCGTCGCCCGTAGCTCTAGAGGAGCAATCAAGGATCATGCTTCGTAGTGCTCCCTCGCTTTGCGAGGGCTTGACAAAACTCCAGATGGGGAAGTGCGTTTTCCTTCAGGGTACTTTTTTTTTTATGTAGGGCTGAAAGGGAGCCAAAAGGAAAACCACAAATGTTTGAAGTCCTCTATTTAGACACCTTTGTAAAAAGCCTTCTGATTCGGCCAGCCGTGTTGAGAAAGGCTCCCAGTTTCGGATTCGTCGTTGGAATTTGTACTGTAAAAGACATGGCCGAATAAAGTACTCTCGTGCCCTGTTCCCTCAGTCAAAAGAGCAAACATCCCCTTTGGAACAACCCTGGCTTCAAGAGTCCGGTCGTTTGCGCAGTCTACACAAGCACTCTCTGAAAAAGCACTCTTTCAGAACAACTTGGTATACCATCCAAATCTGAACTGAATATTTACCTGTGTCAAACCCTGAAAAACGGCTCAGGCAACCCACATGAAAGTCATCATTTGAAGTTTGACACGGTCTCACTTAATCCCCTGTGAGGAAGCAAGTTTCAGCCATGTGATCTCAGCTCGCCGCAAACTCTGGCTGCGGACGCCGTACAAGCGCTCCGCCCAAAGCATGGCCTTTGGGCGAGTCTTTGCGGAGGGAAGCGGCGAGAGGAAACGCGCAAACTTGGAACCGAATCGGGTGAGGCACAGGCGTTTGGAGAACTGCCGATCTGTAGTTTGGGGAATGAATAAGCTATGGGCCGAAGCATTTTGGGGTCATGTCTATCGCTAATAAGCCCATGTAAAGGGGTCTTTTTGCGCATGGCACACACACACACACACACCAGCACCAAGGTGAAATGTGACTTAGGCAACTGCAACATCATCTGAAACCCAGCAGGAACAAAATACTACCTCATGCACCGGAAATTACAGACATAGGTGTCCTTTTTGGGAAAATAGATGGCTGGGTGCAAGCATGAGGCCAATTGACGAACGAGAAGCATGGTTTCCTGTGGAGAAGCCCAACACGTAAACCATCTCTGGGATCAATGGGATCATGTCGATGTTTTGTTTGTTTTGATATTCCTGGACCTGCAAAAGATCCCACTCTTTCCTGCCTTTGTAAACCTTTTTTGGTGGTCAACGGCAGATCTATAAAAAAAAAGCGGTCCCGGGCTTTGAGGGGTATATGAATTGTATCATGGCCCCCAGTCTGCACCTCCAATTCCCAATGGGAACTTCAACCAAACCTCCCACGACATCTGGGGCTCGTTTCGGGTAATTACAAAACAATCGGTCAACAGGCAGGTAAAGGGATGGACCAGGGGACATGCACACAACGGTAGCTTTGGGCGAATCTGCATTCGGGTTCGGTTTTTTAAACCGGAAAATTCCACCATGAAGGTGAAACACTCCGTTGCCTGACTGAAGAGTTCAACTGAATTGGGCAACTAGGTCCCGAATCTGCACACTGGTGCTTGCCTGAACCGACATGCCAAACTTATTATCAGGGTGTCTTTTTTAGATACCCGACGAATTGGTGGCTTCCCTTTCAGCTTTCCATTAAAACCAGCACAAAGGAGTATTCCCAAAAAGGACACACTCACATGGGTGTGGCTCAAAATTCAAGAGCTACAGTTACGCAGGTTTTAGTCTTTGGTTCCATTTACCAAGGTGCCATTTTGGCACCACTTTTTGAGCCACAGCCACATTGTCTCCGGAGGCGGGCCTTTCTTTCGGGCCCTTCGCTGTTGACCGGCGCCTACGGCCGTTCGTTCCAGCGCCAGAACTGCTTTGGCTGGCAACCAAAACCTGCTTGGCGGGGTATGGCGGGTAGATACCAGTCCGCCCACAACCGCATGGTAAAGAATCCAAAGGGCGGAAACTGGACGCACCCCAATTCTATTATAAGTGGGGCTGGTGGCTGACCCATGCCTTAAAAAAGGAGACCGCCGCTGCATATGCTGCAAGCGCAGCTCAGAGCCACGCGCAAAATCGCGAAGTCTCCTACGAAAAGGGGGACCCAACAATTCTGTGGCTTCCCTTGGATTGCCTCATATCTACCCCGACAAGGGTGTCAACAAATGTTCCCTGTCTATTCCCTGTGCAGATGCGGCCATCAGCTTGGCAGCGGTCGACTTTGGACCATTCCGCTCACATCGCCATCGCCTCAAGGTCCCGCAAGCGCATGTCCCATAGGCCGCTCCGCAGGTAGAGCAGCAGGAACTGTTGAATCGCCTCGATTCGCCAAGACATGCGAGAGCTTCAGAGTCGACCACGATTTTCAGCTTCCCTCTGGTTGGTGATTTGGATTGGTGGTGCAGTGGTTCGGGGCGGTTTCCCCAAACCACCAACTAAGCGTTGCCTGAACAAAGGCTCCGGCCGAGTTTCTACCGTTGGAGGACGTCATCACATGGGAAGGATCCAAGTGGCAACGAAGCCAAAAATTTGGAGACTGGTGACCAGATCGTGACAAGGAAACAAAGGCACCGAATTTGGTTGTGTCTTGTTTGGAGGGTACCCCCGATTCTTGTGGTTTTAAAGGGAAACCAAGAGGAAAAACACAATTTGCGGGGTCGCACCCGTTTCATTTCGCCTTCCTTGCTTGGTCATCTTTAGGCTCGGAGCAACCCTGCTAAATAGTTGAAGCAATTGGAGGAACACCATGACCTGTATCTCATCTTCCAGGTGTGTGAGCATCGGATCATGTGGCATATGGGGGTTGTGCAAAATAACCGCTCCTGAAAACTGACCTTCCCCCCTTAACCCTCCGCAAACCTTCCGCGCCCATTGTACATCTACACGCAAGTTCTCACTGGTTTTGGGAGAATGAAAGGGTAGGAAAAGAGATGAGAGATGGCTCGTCTTTTCCCGGCTTCCATGATTGACCGCAATTAACGAAAAATACATAATAAGCAAGAAAACCCCAATGAACCAGAGATATTCGGTCAAGGGTTTCGGATGCTGTTGCACACCTGGAGGAAGGCGCGGCCACGAAGGATTCGGAGCTGGAGCTGGAGGTGCCAGACACATCGGAAGGACATGGACGCAGCTTGGGGAAAGAATCTTGCAAGGAGGGCGAAGGGGGAACGCGCTGCCTGGACAAGCTCGTCTTCCACGCCGCTTCCTTCCACGCGCAGAGAGTGGGAAGCTCATGCCGTGCAAGCCTGGCATATTGGCAATACTAAGCCGAATGCCATGGGTTTATCCACGACCCCCATATGGATTAGGATTGGTTTTGAACCCCCCAGCCCTACCGACTATATACCCTGGACGTTAACATGGAACCTCAAAGGTCCATGCTAAAAAAGGAGATTGCTTGGGGGCTTCATGTGAGTAATGTTAACCCCATATGACTCAGCCCCAGTTTGTTAGGGGGACTCATCCCCTCCAAAAGTGGGCTGATTCCAACCACATTTCACCCAGCGGGAGAAAAAAAACAACAAAAAAAAACAGGACCCCTATTAGTAAGCAGGTTGGTTGATCACGGATGGAAATCTTCGCCAACCAACAAATGGCCCAGGCCGCGGGTTCCCCTGCAAACCCAGCGGCGTTCGCGGCCTGTTGCAGTCCGGCCATTTCACTCAGCGACTTCCCGAAGTCTGCCGCCGTCTGGCGGGTTCCGAACAACGAGCCGTGCTTCCTACCAATGGAGGACCACCAGTTTATATGATTGCACACCCCACTGAAAAAAAAACAACAACAAAAAAAACGGGATACAGACTTCGAACAAACAAAAACCACATTTTTTCCCCGGGTGGTCCTATGGATGTGAAATGAACACCCGTGGCCCATGTCCAAGGATCCAATCCTTACGCAGGACACGCCTGGGAAAGGCTCTCGGGCCCACAGTGAAAACATAGCGACATCAACGCCAAGCAAAAACCAACACATGCCAGGACGGGGAACATCAAGCACAATTAGAACTGCCTAACATGTGGGTCCCTTTTCGTGTTCTTGCTGGAAAGATGCTCTCTGATTGATTTTTGTCAAGGGGAATTCCCCAAATCACTTTTGGCAGTTTCCGCCCATTTGGTATTTGCGTCAGAATAGGGGTCCTATCAAACATGGGCGGTTTTCGCTTGGGCTTCCCTGCAATCCAACCTGAACGGGAACCCTCAAAAACACACATAGGACCACACCCCAGGGTGCGGGCAAAATACTGTACCTACCCTTCTGGTCTGTTGGCTTCCTGTCGACGCTATAATTTTGATTGGCCTTGTGACTTCCCCAAGACCAAGGTATTTCACACCTTGAGCAAAACAGATCCGACCAATGCCTCGCGCATCGTCCAGGCTGTGCGCACTGCACCGGCAATGTCCTCAACCTGGGGGCTCGCTGCCCAACCCATGAAACCACCCGCTCGCAATGTGGCAATCAAAAAACCATCGCTACCAAGGGAGGCTTGCCTTGAATGGTCCAAGATGTCGATCCCCCCGAAGAATTTGCCAATCCCAAAACCAAATGGCCGTGGCGCGGTCCTCTCTTTTTTGGGGGGAACCCGGCAACATTGGGGTGGTTCACGCCCGCAAAAAACGGGGCTTTTGGCGCTCAACGTGTCAACGAACCTCGTTTCCTGTCACGTTCGCCGGATCGGCCGGGCGGCGCTCAGCTTGGCCAGAGAGGTCTTGAATCCCACGCCCACGCCCAGACGGTTCACATGGCCTGCCTTAGGCCAACCCGCGGCTCGAACCCCGCGTCGCAGGATGGAATCGTTCGGGCGTGGGCTTTGCCGTGGGTTTTAAAGGAACAAACAAAGTGGAACCCGCCGTTGTGGGAGGTCCCCTGAAAAAGGAGATGCTCATTCTGGTGTGTTCACTTTTTTGGTGGAGGACCCACCGAGCAAAAAGGGAATTTTGAGGATGCCGCAGAAGTGGGCTTTTTGAGGGGCAACCCCGAGAGGCTTGGAGGGAAGCAGAAAGGGATTGAACACCTTCAAACGAAAACCGAAAAAATGCAACAACAACCAATACTCGTTTTGGAAGGCCCCTTGCCACGATGCCTTCCGTTGCCGGTATACGGTATTTTCGTGGAACTTAACGCGATGTGTTTTTTTGCAAGGGCGCCTACGCTCACTTGCTGAGTGCACGGGCCAAACAAACAACCAAACTTGTCTGCCACGAAAGTGTTCTCGAAAAGTTTAAAGTCCATGAACTCGGGAGTGAGTAAGTGATTTCTAAACATAGGGGATGTTGGAAACCAAACAGGAAACCACCATAGTGCCCGTTGAGAAGCACCCAAACAGCTTCAGGTGGTGGTGCAGGGTATCTCAAAATTGGATAAGTACCATTGTTTCCTTGCTTATAGGGAAACTGGCCATTCAACCAATCAGGATATCCACCTGATCAAACCACCAAGACAGGGCGACCTGATGCATGCCGAGGTGCATTGTGAAATTGGTCGCCGAAGATAGGCGTGATCACCTAAGCTCTTGCAATGCATGCGCTGCGAAACATCATCATCCAAAAACATCATCACTACTCAAAACAGAAATATATTACAAATAGTTGATATTTACCTCCAACAGAGTCTTTTTGTTTCGCAAATACATCGTGTCTTCCCTGGAATCAGAAGGCTGGCGCGTCACTCGGTTACCACTGGGACACCCGGCATTTAAGCAATCAGGGCTTCGT